GAGCTGCTTTGATTTTGCTCTAACCTAGAGAGTAGATAAAGTAATAAAAGTTCCTAGATTTTTATAGAAATCTCGTTATATATTATTGATACAATATATTTAATTTCGACATACGAACATGCTTAATAAGGAATAAACAATTTCTATAAAAGTTATAAAAGGAAGGGAAAAGCATATAAAATGAAATAGTAAGAAAGATTTAATCGAGTGATACCGATAAGATATATTCTGCACTCAGTTCCTATTGTAAGCTCAATTCGAAGTTCAGAACGCAGCGTCCACGCCTCAGAGCTAAAATGTGAAAGGTATTCTTAAACAAAGTCAGAATTTACTTTCCAATCGTTAGGGTATCTTTGGAGAGTCAAATATGTCATTCAAGTGTATACCTAAAACTTGGTTTTTACTTTTCGAGAAACGTGAAGCGGTGTCAGAAATAATAGATTATCTTAAACTATGTATGCTACATTTTGTGTTTCTAGTTTTAAAACACTTTCAGATATTCTCAGGCTTATTTCTCGATATTTATCGAATTAAATGTTTTTAATTTGAAATCAAATTCGACTTACTTTTAGGATCGTTATGAACATTTATAATGAAAGCGAATGAGGTATTCGATTTAATTATAAAAGCAAAATAATTTTGCATCTATCATAATTGTAATTAACTGCAAAAATGTTTTATTTGATTTTTACGTGCATGCATCAAGATGTACAAATATAATGCATATATCATCCTGCATTAAAAAAAAAAATATTTATTTCTGTTTGCACTTGTGTACTCGCATTCGTATGTGCATATTTACTTCAAAAGAGACACACACAAATACATACAAATTGTCAAACTTTTTATTAAATAACAGTTGTGTTTAGTTATAAAAATAATTTTATTTATGTCTAATGTATATTCAAAATTGCTGAGGTAATCATATTTTGGTATCTACTGATCTAATTATCAATGGACTTTACAGGTATTTCAATACCCAATACTCTCTTGAAGCCATATAAAAATTGCAGGGTATAAGTAAAATGTACTCAACCGTACGCTCTTGCTCATCATAATCAACTGCATCTTAAAGAACTGAAGCGAGTTTAGTTTCGAGTAGCATCCTTTTTAGACGCCATGGCGCCTCGACGGCTAATGAAGTGGCCGCCACGTTGGGGCCGACCAAACGGGCAGCGAACTTTACCCCACAACAACAAAGCGTGTAAATAGCAAAAGTTTTGCTCGTATGGTGTCCGACATGAACAGAATTGAACTAAACTATTCACTCAACTTGGCAAAGCTAAAAATCATTTAATTAAAGTTCAGCACGGCGAGCATCAACAAAAACAGAACCGACAACAACAACAGGAACAAGAGAGGCTGATCTGTTCGAGAAAGCCTGACTAGAAGATATCCTAAACACAATGCCAAGCTCGCTGCTGTTTATTTTAACTTTTAACTTTCTTCAAAAATTTGTGGTTATATTCGTTGCTTATAGTCCGATCGGTATGGAATTGTCACTGCTTAACTATGGGATTTAAGTGTGTGTATATACAAAATCACAAGACCTTTAAAAATTAATTGGTGCCAAATTTGATGGCATTGTGAAAAGGTATTCAGAAGTGAATTATTTTTAAACTTTTATTCTATAGAAGAACCTAACGCCAAGGTTTCATGAATCTTTTTTATTGATAGTATAAGAATGGAAGCAGATATCGATACACGCGTACTTCGTAGGGTGTAGGAGACTATAAATTTCACATTTAACAACCCTTGCTTTTGTAGTTTGACTAGATCGACTCATTTTCCTGTATAAGAATTTATATATATATATAAGAACATATATGCCTTATATGCAATCGCACAAAATCATTATATCTTTTTACTCATGTTCAAAGGGTTAAGGGTTACAAACATCAGATTTCAACAACAACACAACATGATGCTATGTAAGCGGCTCCTAATTGCTTTAACAAGTAGCTAACAAGTGCACAGCTAAACGGGATGAGCAGGAGATGGGGGTGCAGAGGGGTGGCTGGCGGGTGCAGTGACCTGTGCTGCTCGCTTAATGCAATATAGACAGGGGCGGGCAGATATGTATCACTCACTAATTAGTGAGGCAGGCCAGGGCGTGGCCAATACCAACACACACAGACCACCCAAACGTGGTGAATGCCAAGTGTTTGAATAATTTAATTTATTGGCATAAAGGAAATTTGAATGCAGCGCGTGCATTTTGTTTTAAGTTAACAAAGCTAACGCAAAATTGCCAGCCAGATGAAATATATTTCTCAAAAAATAAAGCTCAAGAAAATGCGAGAGGAATTATTTATATACATAGGAACATGCGCCTTATACTCTAACAGTTGGCAAGTTAATGAAGCTAAGCCTTAAGTATGCTTCACAAATATTTACAATGCAGAATTGCTATTCGTCTTCCTAGAACCGAAACCTGAATCGAATCTTATTATTTTTAAAAATGGTTTGATACAAGATAAAGATGTACAATTATTTAATTTAAATAATATATGAACCTAGGTTCATAAATGTAAAAAACAAGGTTCACGAATCGAACCCAAAGGTAGGTTCAAATTTAGAATGAGTTAAGGTTAAACTGTGAACAAATCTGTAAGACATCCAATCAATGTTAGTTATAGTCCGAATGAAGAACTGCCTGTAAATAACTTACAAATTTATATAAAGAGTTTATTTTTAAAGTTCACATATTCCTCTTGCCACGCTTCCTATTTATTATTATTAAATCTTCGTATTGCAGCTCGCGTAAGTTTTGTATTTCTTAATAAATGTGTAGACAAGGGCATTTTATCTTCGCTATTCCCTGGTTGGCTTTTCACTCCTGTTGCTGTAGCCAATGTCTGTTGCTTACAAATGACTTTTGGCCACTGAGCGGCTGGCGGCTGGTGGCTGCCTGCCTATGCATTGGACTATGTAATTTTTCAGTGGAAAACACAGTGAACATGCAATTTATGTTGTTTACTTAAGATTATTCATAAACCGGGCCCGCTTCACAGGACTTGCCTCATGCCGCCAAGCACGAATCCTGCTGATTGCCAGCACTCGTGGCTGACCCCCGCAGTGCTCCTTAGGCTGGCCGTTGTCAATGCAATACGAATGCGCTGCGCCTGCAGTTTTCTAAATAAATTTTCTGCTGAATTTGCTTTAAAATGGCAGCAACAGCAGGAGCAATGGCAAAGCTCAAATTGCTGACCAGATCCGACTCCTTTGAAACGTTGGCCAGTGGACCACAGTGGGCGTGGCAACATGCCTCACTACATGTAATTTTACGCGCAACTTAACTTGTTAACTGGTGTTGGGTAGTGGGAGGGGGCGAGGGTGCGAGGATGTGAGTGCGCACCCACATACATACCTGCCGCACTGTGTACAAATGTTTGAGCTACACGGCGTATGCGTAATATGCAGCTTTACTGCTTTGATTTGGAATTAAAGCTTAAATCAGCAACAAGCACGGATTGTGGCATTGTGCACTTGAATTTGATGGTTGTCTGTGTGCGTGTGTGTGTATGAGTGTATGTGTGTATCTGTCTGTGATACGAGCATGAGTTATATAAGCAAATGTTAAGCATACGCCCCGTCGTTCATGGGGTTGAGAGATTGCTGTTTGCTGCTGGCTATTAAGATGGAATTACATCATTAGCATAATGTTAAAGAGCACAATCAGTGTGAGGGGAGCTTATTCAAATGATAAATAAATACAAGTGCACTGAAAAGGGACTCAAAATGCGCTTAATATGTATTTATATTGTTGAACTAAATCATTTTGTATGGCAGATATTATTGCTCTTTATTGATGGTCGTCCGTGAGCTCAGGCTGGGCTAACGACTGCAAACAATGAGCCGTGATATATCAATGGCCAAAGCTTCCTTAATGTGCTTTTAATTGGATTTTAATATTGCATTTACATTAAACGGCTTAATTGGCAGCTACAAAGCAAATATATGCATACGTATTTATGCAAATTAATTCTAGAAATTCACAAGTAGCTTAAGCATAAAGTAGTAAAGCCTTCAAAGCTGAAGTTCTTTGTTAAAATCACTCATAATTGATACGCGCATATATTATGCACACTTAATAAATACACAAATAAATACTTTTTAATTATGTTGAAAGTCTGAAAGTCTTAATTTTAATTAAAATTGGACTCGTATAATTTGTCAAATTGGTTAATTAAGGAAACAAGAGCTGTTCTTGATCATGGCAAGCAAATTTACCGTTTTAAGTAATTCAATGTTACCTAATATGAACTAGTTAATAATAATAAATCTTTTTTATGGGGTCTTACGAAGTTAAATTATAAAATTTGTGTGGTATTTACATTATTCTTTGTTTAAATAAATTAATACTTTATCTGGAATCTAAGCAGCCAGATTAATTGTTTTAATATGTCACCTTTAGATTAAACTAATCTTCAACTTTCTAACAATTCCCAGAAATATGCTTGGTGTAATAGTTATTCATAAGTTGATCAGCGGCAAAGTCGACTTCTCTGATTTACGTGCTCTAACTAGAATAATTCATAACTAAGTAAATACCTTCGGCTCTTAAATGTTGCTCAACTAATTAAGACATAAAGTATGCTGTAAAAAATATGTTTTCTATAGCTTATACAGCTCCCTCTTTCGAAAATGTAATTAAAAGTAATACTATATCGAATTAGTTCCATTTAATAAGGAGAGTTTCCAGACTAAAGCTCTTCTGTCTATTTGTGTAAGATGTGCTACTAAAAGCACGCTGCATACTCACTTGACTATTTAAATGGTTGAAGCACTTTGCCAACTGTACCCCAGCTACAAAGCCCCGACCGTCAATTCCCATCACAAGCAACCAAGAACGACGAGCCCATTGTTCAATTAATTGCTGCACAATGCCATTATACAACGCCGCCATGTCTCTTGCTAATATACATCGCCCCCTGGCCGTTTGTCGCCCTTTCAGTCCATTTCTTACTGACCCTTTTCTCGTCCTTTTTTCACTTCAGATACGACTACGAGACGCTGCTCCAGAATTCAACGTTTTGTTTGGTGCCGCGCGGACGTCGCTTGGGCTCCTTCAGGTAAAAAACAATTTTCATTTTACAGCTCATGCCCATTTCATTTTCCCTCATACAATCATACATATATATATAGATATATATATATCTTGTGCTTTTTTATCCTGATTGTTTTTTATTCATTTTTGTAGATTTCTCGAAGCATTGCAGGCGGGCTGCATCCCGGTGCTTTTGTCCAATGCCTGGGTATTGCCATTTGAATCGAAAATCGATTGGAAACAGGCCGCCATTTGGGCCGATGAACGGCTCCTGCTGCAGGTGAGTTGTCCAAAAGCGTTAAATATATATATATATAGATATATGTGTATACTTTCGTATAGATTGGCACATAAGTTTTTTGTGCGCTGTCATAAAATATGAAAACGCGTTGCGAGTTTTTCAAATGTGACCTGTTTTGTCTGTCTGAAAGTTTTGTTATTTTTTCGACTAACCCACATCCGCAATGGGTATCCTGTGCGCTGTCCTGCCCAGCTCTGTCCCCGTCCTGTGTTATCTGTTCCTGCCAGCGGTACCCTATGGTGAGCTGCTGTCAGCTGAACATCGTCATTTATTGACGATTTAATGTCCATGAAAGCTGCACAAAAACTGTTGCATAATAATATTTTTCATCAGTTTCTGCTGGGAAAACTCCCGCTGGTTCTTCTCAGGCAATATTGATGTTCACAAATTGTTATGTTTCTATTTTTTTTAAATTTTACAAACGAAACAAACGTTTTTTAATGGACTTCACTACATTTTGATCCAAGTTGCATAAACTGTGTTTTTATGGAACAACTTAATTTCCTTCAGAAGACCTTTGCTTATTAGATTTGTATTTATATGTCTAAGTTTTTTTCATCGAGCTATTTTCTAAATAGATTCAGCGCTGGTTCCAGTCTGAACATTCTTTTGATTATAGAAGTAGGGTTGCATATATATGAAATTAAGTATATGTATTTCTGTCAAATTCGAAGTCTTACCTTTGCAGGTACCTGTGAATACCCCAATAGTTACGACGTATAACTAACGCTAAGCAAAAGACAGCTTCATTTAAAATAATTGGCAACTAGGAAACAACAAAAAGCATTTTCCCTATTCTTCTCTCGACTCATTTTCGCTATCTTATAAGGAATGCACATATGCATTTTTTCTATTACTCACGAAAAATGTACAAACTTACAATTCCTTGCCATTTATTTAAAAGAGAAACATGTTTCTTAAAGTGCATAACAATTATAGAAAAGTTACAAAATTGTCAAAGGAGCAATGGGAATAATAATTGGTGCTTGTGACAGTTCGATCCTGGGCATTGGTCACAAAAATTGCCTGCCATTTGCAAGCGATGGACGAAAAATGGATCGCAGCATGGAGCAGCATGTCCTGCTAGTGCGCCATGTCCTTGCCAGATAGATGCTCACCTGGCTACAAAAACATAAAACACTTTATGTCCGTCCGCCCGTCGTCCACCTGGCTGCCTTTCTGCCTGTCTGTGTGTGCTTTTGTGCGCTGCCCTCGCTCTTTGGCATTTGTTTGCACGCACTGTCCTTCTGCTGCAGTTTCTACTGCTCCAGCTATAGCTCAATCTCCAGCTACTGCTACTGCTGCTGCTGCTGTTCCTCGCTCCTGTTCGTCCTGATTCGCGACAAAGTCTTGTCGCATTGTTTGCCAATTGCATTGTCTCCCCAACCCGCTCCTTACGACTCAGCGACGACCGTCCTTCGACTTTATCGTTGGCATGTTTGCTTTTGTAGTTTATTGGCAGGAAATGCAATTAATTAAGTTAACTTGAGCAGGAAACTTGAGCACTAGAAGCACTCGTGCTGCGCTCTTTAAATTGTTTCAATTTGCTGCTGCTGCTGCTGCTGCCGCATTTATTGAATTCTACTTGTGTGTGCCCTGCCTTTCATAATCATGATGTATATCCTGCGGGCCAATTCCCTAACTAATTACCAGCACACGGCCTGCCACACGGCTGCTGCATCAGCTGACAGCCGAGTTGTTTTTGGGCCGTTGTAATTAATGCATTGTGCCTGGGATTTGCTGCTGCTGCAGCAGTCGTTAAGCTGATATTTCACATACGCACAGTTGGCAGGTAAATGTATTACATCCATCTCTTTCTCTCATTGCAGGTGCCCGACATCGTTCGCTCCATTTCAGCGGAACACATCTTTGCCCTGCGCCAACAGACTCAGGTCCTGTGGGAGCGCTACTTTGGCTCCATAGAGAAAATCGTCTTCACAACATTCGAGGTGAGTTTCCAGACTTTCTTTTATTTTTGCATCTTGTGTACTGCTTATTCCATAAGCTGACACGCCCACACACGCACAACCTAGATTTTTTCCTACACTTTACGCCAAGAGGACAACAAAAACAAAACAAAAAAAAAAACAGACAACAGAAAAACCATCCGCAAACTCTTTTACAAAATATAACCCGCACATGTTGGATTGTTCGGAAGTGTACTCTGTGCAATACTTAAGTGGGTAGCCCAAGTTTGTCGCGAATATTGCGTAACTTTTTGTTAACGTCAGCTGCACAATTCTCTAAGTATGTGAAGTTTTCGTACCTAAATGACAGCACTTTTGTCCTATTCAAGTATGTCGAAGAGCACACGTTTATCGTGAATAAAATTTGCCGCTCATACGGTTCATGGCTCGAACCAGCTCATAACGGTTCGTAGCGGTTCGTGAACCTGTTTTTTTTTACATCTATAATCTGAGGTCTTGCCTTAAGCCTAGGTTTGTCGTATATTTATAAATTATATTAATGAAACAATTGAATTTTATATTCATTATTCCCCATTTTTTGGAAAACGTGCAAGTCATATTTTCCTATTTTCATGATCGATAATTGATTTTAGTAAACTCTTTAGTATAAATACTTATATTAGGCAGGCCAGCTTGGGATCAATGTTATTTTCTTGTATACAAATATAATTATCAACTAAATACGAGGTATAAACACGAAAATTAAGCTGATTTTCTCTCAAAGCATTAACCAGTTGAAAAATTCTATTAAATACAGCTAGGTAATTCCAATGTTTGAAGCGTAAAATATGGTTCGTTTCTGCGTTTTTTTGGTAACTAGTTTAGTTTACGGTTTGGTTTACTTGACCAGCAATGAAATTACGTCTGTGCTTTCATCCTCTTGTGACATCCTGTGTAAACAGTATGTCTATAATTTGCAAATACCTGTTAGAGTTGAAAACAATAAACAGCATGTTAATTGGACAACATGTCAATTCGTTTTTCGCTATCTCATTGTCTAGTCAACGAACTTATGGTAGCTCTGCATCACCACATTGACAAGTTAACAGGTGGGAGTTCAAAGTAGCCAAAGTCATGTTTTGCCAGGAATATTTTTGTTTTTCACAAGCATTTTACCATATGTGCAACACAGGGTGGCAACGCTGCCACTCACTGTTCCTGCCAAATCTGGAAAAGGCGACCTTTCAACAAAATGAATTTTGAAATCTTGTTAAAGTATCAGTCAATTATGACAGAAGCATGAAAACAATTGGTTTTTATACCCTTGCAGAGGGTATTATAATTTTGTCGTGAAATGTGTAACGCATAGAAGGAGACATCTCAGACCCATAAAGTATATATATTCTTGATCAGTATCAACAGCCGAGTTGATATAGCCATGTCCGTCTGTCCGTCTGTCCGTCTGTCTGTTTCTATGCGAACTAGTCTCTCAGTTTTAAAGCTATCTTTATGAAACTTTGCAGAATTCCCTCTTTCTGTTGCACGCAGCTCATATGTCAAAACCAGCTGGATCGGACCACTATATCATATAGCTGCCATAGGAACGATCGGTCGAAAAGTAGGTTCTTGTATGAAAAACATTTTTGTTTATAAAGTTATCTTGACTAAACTTGTATTTATTAGTTTTACTACGCTCCCCATATATATGCAAAATCCTATTAAGATCGGGCAACTATATCATATAGCTGCCATAGGAACGATCGGTCGAAAATTAAGTTTTTGTATGGAACATTTTTATGTTTTTCAAGATATCTTGACCAAACTCGGTATTTATTAGTTTTACTAGGCTCCCCATATATATGCAAAATCCTATTAAGATCGGACCACTATATCATATAGCTGCCATAGGAAAGATCGGTCGAAAATTAAGTTTTTGTATCGAAAATTTTTATGTGTTTCAAGATATCTTAACCAAACTCGGTATTTATTAGTTTCACTACGGTCCCCATATATATGCAAAATTCTATTAAGATCGGACAACTATATCATATAGCTGCCATAGGAACGATCAGTCGAAAATTATGCTGTTGTATGGAATTTTTTTGTTTTTCAAGATATCTTGACCAAACTCGGCATTTATTAGTTTTACTATGCTCCCTCCACTTATGCAAAATCTTATTCACATCGGGCAACTATATCAACTATATAGCTGCCATAGGAACGATCGGTCGAAAATTAAGTTGTTGTATGGAAACCTGTTTTGTTTTTCAAGATATCTTAACCATACTCCGCATTAACTATTTTCCCTGTGCTTCTTAGATACGGGCAAAGCACTATGAGCATTTTGAAAAGGTTGGGTCTGCAAGGGTATTAAATCTTCGGTGTGCCGAAGATAGCACTTCTTTCTCGTTACTTTATAAGTTTTGCGTTACAATTTTAAAAATTATATTGGGTTTAATAAATATTGTTAATATTTACCCAATATATTTGGAGAATTGAAAGTTTTAGAAACAAATTTTCATTCGATTTCTGATATTAATACTACGGAGCTCCCTTAAAATTTTAAGAGAATTTATAAAGCTGACTTTGCACAAAACTGCAGGAGACAACTTTGGTCGCATGTTTATCGTTGTGTGTGTGTGTGTGTATCTGCGCCGGGGCAAAACAAATGTATCTGTTAGCTATTTTCTAAGTAGCAGCAGTTCTCTGCTATTGAATTTGAATGTGGCACGTTAGGCAAAGCGATGGCTACACCCGATGCGCGACGTCGACAAAGCAGGAATTTAGAGGGCTTTGGGTGGATATAACGGCGCTGCAGGCAACAGGAAAACCAAACAGACGATGACGGTGACGATCAGACTGAGGATACAGACGACGACAACGACGACGACGAAGCGTTTGCGTATAAATAATACATACGCATTTTACACACAGGCACACACATATACACACACACACACAAGCTGTTTATATACAATGAAATGGCAAGCAGCAAACGCGACATGCGACGACGTTGATGATGAAGCCGAGAAGCAAACGAAACCCAACCAAACCACCGACACTGGAGACCACTTTTCAACACTCAAATTGACATACACACACACACACACACTCACCACCACTAGCAACATTTACAGCCAATGCATGTGTATAGAGCATTCAATTCTGTGTAATCATCATGCCCGGAACACAAAAACTGAAACTCTAGCTACAGAGAGATGAAGAGGGGCAGAGAGAGGGGCAGAGAGAGGAGAGCGAGACGATGCTGGGCAAATGTACGTAGGTCGCGATGTGGCGAATCTTTTTGCGTTGACAGACACATTAACAGACGACGACATGGTTGGATGTGGTTGTTGGTTGCCAACGTTACCCAAAACTTCTGCTGTTCGTTGCAATGGATGATGCAAGTGTGCGTTTTGTAGCTTCTGTGGTTTCCACTGCTACATTCCTTCTATTCTCTGCCCCGTCTCTCCCTCTCCCTCTCCCTCTCTCTCTCTCCCTCTCTCTCTCTCTCCCTCTCTCTGTCTCTGTTTAGCAATAATCAATTTACAGTTACACGTGTGTGCATGTGTTAAGCAAATGAAAAGCAAATATTTGCCATGCAACGTGACCATCTTGTAGTTGGGTAGCCGCAACAACGATGGGATAATTCCCAAAAACTGGCCAAAACACGCACCACATACGACAAAGCGTTTTGTTAATATCCCAGCCACATACAAGCAGCCGATCCTGCTGCCAGCCAGGGCAGGTCTCTAATTGGTCGCTGATAGCACGCACTTGCAGGTGGTCGGAACCCTGATTTATGGCCAACTAATTTTCACTCCATTATTCTTATTGCTTAGCCTTTTATCAACTCAGCGTTAATTGGCTTCTGCTGAAGTGCTTTGATTGGGGCTTAAATTGCAAACAGCGCCTGAAATATGGCTAAAATTTGGCATGAAAGCCAAATAATGTCGTTTTGACTTGGGCTATTTAATTTGGTAAACAAAATATTTTCTACTAAGTTTTCCTACAAATATTTACAAACAAAAGCATACATCTCCACAGCAGCTGTATGGAAAAAAAACAACAAAGCCAGCCTCAAAAATATTTATACCATGCAAAGGTCGAACAATAAATAAACAAAAATGATTTTGCAGGTTTTTACGGTCACCAGTTTAAAAGAAAAGCAAATATAATACATTTATTGAAGCCTTTATTTATAAAATATTCAATTTCACGCAATAAAGGTATTTAAAGGATTTAGAATTCATAGAATTTAATTTTTGGTGAACTTAACTCAAAGCAGGCTTATTTAAGTAAAACAACACTTAACTAGAACTTCAAAATTATTGTAACAGATTAAAGCAGGCTACCAAATTTATTTAGATATATCTTAATACAATCTTTAAAGGAGCTGATAAGTGTCTGCATTTCAAAGATAAATTTGTCTCAGAGGGCGCAAATTAAATCCATATAGTTTGCTAGACAATATGAAGAACTTTCAGATATTTTTCGGATTTGCCAGGTTAATACTCATGTCCTACAAATATTTAATCCGTGGGATGGACTTACGAAATTCGCTGAAATGCGTATTGTTTACAATTTTATTATGCAGACTTGTTTGCATTCAATTGAATAAAAGCGAAAAGCAAAGGAATTTTCTGACATCTGTTATTTCGAAGAACATCGTTTGCTTGTAAATTTTCTGAAGTGTACTCAATTTATCACAATTCATATTCGTTTTGCTTGGCTATTTTAACACATTTCTTTGATATCTTAATAAGTTTATCTCTCAGTTAAAATTGCAGTCATTTATAGTATTTCATTATAAGCCAATTTCTATACAACATATTAAATTTTCAACTAAAGTAAAATATTCATTAGATAAATATACAAATTCTGAAAAATAGTGTGAATGTCAGCCGAAATTACATTACATAAAATTAATAAGCTTTTTGTGCATTCCGTTTTCTCTCTTCTTTAAGTTTGGTATGGATATTATGTCCAATGCAACTGCAGCAGCAGCACCTACAGCAGCTAATGCAACTCGCCTGGAAGCA